TTGAAAGTTTGCAATTTATCCTTCCATGCTCCCATACCATAAAGAATATATTCAATTAGAAAGCCAAAAACCCGTCACATATTATAACTACTCTGTATAACTACTCTGAACATGAATCCGTCTGTTATTCGACGTTTGTACCCTGTATGAGTGTACACAAATATTCAAACAACTTCAGTAGTCCATGCTTTAGCCTGCCTATGAAACTTTTCCGAACGAATTAGGGAGAGAGAGCTCCTTCATTCCTCTTTTCTGCTCTCCCCCGACTTTCTTGACCACCTCGCGTGGAAACGCTTGCCGCCGACCAATAGTGGTCAGTCCGTGTTCTTTCAGGTAGAACTCAAGTTCTTTCACCTTCAATAAGGATGCCGTCCTATTTGAAGTCCCGCCTCTTACCTCTTTCGTTCCTCAGCTTCTCTTGTTCTAATGTCTTTTCTGATATAAATCTCTTTAAGGTGATTAATATATGTAATAACAGGCTTCTCATCAACATTGTACTTTGAACAGAAGCTCTTGATGGTATCTCCATCGTTTATGACACTGACGGAATGTTCCTCATGGAAGTCCTTCAAACATTTTCTCGGGAGATAGTCATCCGGTGTCCTGCCTGTCGATTCCGTCTGAAAGACATTCAAGAAATGTTCCCTATTGTTTGGGTCTGGTACAGGTTGCGGAATTCTTTCTGTCTCTGGTCCCACCCATCTGTTGTTAGAAAACCAAGAACAGAGATTGGAGGTCTCCTCTTTGTAGGCATGCACTACGACAGAATTTCATTAAGAGCTCTCCACGGATGTAGTGGTCTTCCATAAACGATTCGATCTTTCTGAGATATGCTGCACCAGGGAATTCCAATTTGTTTCTTCCTGATTCACCCCGTTATCTATCAAGATGAGCAGAATTGAAAAAGAACAGTTCCCCAGGAGGCTCACTCACTTCACTCTTAATGTAGTCTTTAAGAACAGGGGCGTTATCAATCCTCTCGGCAACCTGACTGCATACGTATACAAGGCATTTTTCTCCACCTGCTTCTTTTCGTATCCTTTATATGACTGAAGTGACATTCTCTTGATTTCCTCCTCTGAAAGATCTTCAAATCTCCTATACTTTTCGCACTCTAGAGTTGCACTACACACAAGAGCATAATCAGAGAAACAGCAGCGTAGTTCGGCTTCACCTGAATTGCCCGCTGTCGCCCCTCGAACGATGGAGCCCCGCAGTGGAGGATGTTCAAGAGTCGGTAAAAGGAGGCGTCCAAGAGGCTGCCAAAGAAGCGCTGGGGACGAAGCAGTGACACTAAACTAATCACTTGTTGATTATACCATGTATATATTTCTTACTTCTGTTGTTTTTGTTTGTAATGACGGTGTACCACCACGACGCCCTTAAATAGGCGTCGAACATTCTTTTAAAAAAAGTGAATAGAAGGGGCGGATCCAGGATTTTTTTTTTAGGAGGGGGTGCACTCGTCTCTTGCTCTACTTAAACACCAATAAACCACATAGTTTTATTAGAAAACCGCAGGTCAACTCGGGGGGGGGGGG